CAAATTCCCTTCACATATGAGAAGGCAAAAAGGTCAAAAAAAGTCCTCAGACTTATTGATTTGATGCAAATCAACACTAAGTTTTTTTTTTTTTTTTTTTAAATTTACAATTATGATATTTTAAATTAGTTTTTATTCACGTCAAAACTAATAATTTTTTAAATGATTTTAAAAATATACTCATTTATTGGATTGATACATTAAAAAAAAGTAATTTTTTTAAATATTAATTTAAAATTTTTAACTTTTAAACTAACTTATAAAATAATATTTATTTACAAATGAATATAATTGTTGATGGTATCTATCCATGTTTATACTAATTAGTTATCTAAAATCATGGACGATAATAAGAGGGGTTATTTTTTTGTCGTAATTGACAAAATTGTTGATGGAATTAGGATCACCACCAATTTAAGCATACATGCGGCGACAGAGCTAAGAGGGAGCCACATCCACCCACCCAATAAGCTGCAAAGGGTCTTTGTATTGATAGGATGTGATGATGCATATGATTACGTTGATAACCATAATTCAATCCAAATCCACTGAATGCACATGGAAGACTTCCTCGTGCTCAAAAAAATTGTCAGCCGGATATGGTCCCGTAACATTTTGTCAAGGTCACATCAACACCACATAAATAATATTTAATTTAATTAATATATATTTTTAAATAATTAATTATAATATCTAAAAATATTAATTTATAAATTAATTTTAATTTATTAAATATAAATATTAATTATTTTATTAATTATTAATTATTCTTAATAATTAAATTAAATAAAATTAATATTTTTTAAATAATATTATACTATCTTAATAAATTAATAAATATCATAACTATATTACAATTTTTCAAGCGTAAGTTTATAAAATGGTAAGTTCTATGATTTCATATCATGTCACTCATGCTAAGAATATGATAATGTGGAAGTATGCAAGGAATTCCATGTTGATACGAAAGCTTAGCTAAGCTAGATTAAAAATAAAATCTATATTAATCTTTGATATGACACAAAACAGTTCAAGGTGTAAAG